AGGCTGCCCAGAGAGGTGGGGGAGTCTCCCCCTCTGGAGCCATTCCAAACCCGCCTGGACGCCGTCCTGTGCCACTGCTGGAGGTGCCCCTGCTCTGGCGGGGGGTGGCACTGGGGGAGCTCCAGAGGGCCCTCCTACCCCCACCAGTCTGGGATGCTGTGATTCTGTGTAACATCAGGTCCCTCTGCCTCGGGGAAGAGGGGGGCACTGAAGCTCCCCAGTCCTTTATGGCAACAGCACATTCGTCAGGGCTGATTCCACGCACCAGCGTTCCAGATCTCCTTTATTAACCGGGCTGTTCTTCCAGACTAATGACAGCGTAATGAATACCTACACGCTGTAAAATACAATGTGCCTGCTGTCAGGCGAACGCAGAATGGGGAAATTTGTGACTGCAGTTCACGTTTCCCAAACACAACCTGCCTTCTGGCAGAAGAGCAGTGCAGGTTGCTCTGCACGTCTGCTTCTCGGCGATATCCATGTAGGTCACATCCATTTGTAAAGCTCCGGGGGCTCCCTGGGGACACCGGCCGTGCTGGTGAGGAGCGGGTACGGCTCTTCACAGCAGTGTGAGATGCGCTGTGCAAGGCGGCGCTGGGGGAACGAGCGCGGGCGGTGGGGGGAGCCACTGCGTAGGAGAGCGCTGCTCGGGAGGCGGGTGAGCTTGCGAGCGCCTGGCTCAGCCACGGGGACACATCTCTTCCAAATACACCACCAGCCTGAAAGGTCACACAGCCGCCTGCAGTCACAGCCCGTGTGGTTATCGCCTCTATTTCCTACAGAGTGTATGGGGCAGCGCCTCAAATTGTCTACCCCTACAGCTGCAGGACATGAGAGTTGGGGGTGTTCAGATGGAGAACAGAAGGCTCTGGGGAGACCTTAGAGCCCCTTCCAGTCCCTAAAGGGGCTCCAGCAGAGCTGGGGAGGGACTTTTTACAGGGGCATGGAGTGATAGGATGAGGGGGGATGGCTTCAAACTGGAAGAGGGGAGGTTTAGATTAGGTATTAGGAAGAAATTCTTCCCTGTGCGGGCGGTGAGCCCCTGGGGCAGGTTGCCCCGAGAAGCTGTGGCTGCCCCATCCCTGGAGGTGTGCAAGGCCAGGTTGGACGGGGCTTGGAGCAACCTGGGCTGGTGGGAGGTGTCCTTGCCCATGGCAGGGGGTGGGACTGGATGCTCTTCAAGGTCCCTTCCAACCCAAACCATTCTGTGATTCTATGATGGCACAGCTCTGCGTGTGGACACCAAGGTGTGTGTGGGTCTAACGGAGCGCAGTGTGGATGCTGTGCCATGGCAGAGTAGTCGCTGCGCTGCTGCTTCAGCATACCAGCCACCACCCTGGGCACTGACCCACATTGGCCGACGACGCTGGAGCAAGCGAATTCAGCCAGCGTCCACGCTTAAAATTTGGGCTGGTTTTGATAAAGCAATGCCACTTCACACTGAAAATGAAGATGTGCAGGAGAGGACTTCTGCAAAGACTCTGCGCTCCCAGTTTCCAAATCCATAAGATGGCAGACACAGTGCCTGAGCCTCCCAGCCGGCTGTCACAAACAGAAAGTGTGGCTTACCAGCCATCACCCTCAGCGTGCCGACTCCTGTCCTCCACAGAGTGGAGTGGCTGTGACCGTGGCCAGGTGAGTCAGGACAGCCTGTCTCGCTTTGCTGCCTCCGAGCCGTGAAGTACCCGTTAGGGCAGGAGGAGCACGCAGGGCTTTGGTCCTTTCACCCCAGGAACAGCCCCACCAAAACAGGACTCTGGCTCCCCAACGCTTTCTCCTCCCACTTGTAACGACAGGTTTGGTGCGATCTGATGGGAAAGGAATCGTTTGGCTGACGTGGGGCTCTGCCAGAGTTATCTGCATCTCAAAACCCCGCACCGCGGAGAGCACGGGAAGGTGGCAGTGAGACGGGTCTCCGGGACGGCCGGGTCAGCTCTCACAGGTTGTGCTTCTGTTTTCCCTCCCCTAGCACAAGCACAAATGTTTTGCCTCTCCATCCCACATTCCAGCGGTCTGATCCTGCCTTCCAAACCACAGCGTGCACTGCCGCAGAGCTTGTAAAACCTGCTGGAGTGTTTATCGCTGCATAGCATCAAGTCTTGACTCCAGAGAAAAAGAGGAAGGAATGACTTAATTCCTTCGCTCAAGACTCCATTAATAAGAGCAGAGATATTTCAACCAGAAGGAACGGGACTTGCACAGTGTTTGATGGACGACGTGTGCGCGCAGATACCCTCCGAGCCAGTCCAAAGGGATCCACCCTTACTGTGCTATGAGCAGTAAACGTTTTTAGTGGCATATAAACAATAATAACCAACAATACCTTTATATTGCCATCCCCCACTGCCTACCAGAGCAGCTAATACTATCAATACAGGTATGACAGCATCTAGCCGACACTGCTTCAAATCACCATCTCGGTTAACTAAAACACCTGTAAGCCTTAATATTTTAAGGAATGCAACATTTTTCTTCCATTTTAGTTTATGAAAGAATTCTCACAGGCCTTCAATGCCTGCAAAAGCAATATTTACTGCACTTGCATCACTTCACAGCCTGGCTGCCTACACCGATCTTTAAACAAACAGCATCTTGAGAGCTGCTGGTTTTAATAGCAGATACGATACCGGGTCCTCATTCTCAGACAAAATCCATATTTCATGCAAATTTGGAGCCTGTTTGCAAAATGAGGCCAAGGACCAGGAATCTGAGCGTGTCTAGCTGGAAACATCCAGGCATTTTTAGAAATGACTGCGCTCTCGCTCTTGAAAACCAGGCCCCTGCAGAGAGTTTTAAAGTGGACACCGCAAACGAAGAAGCCCCGACATCCTTGTATTCCTTTGAGAACAGCGATTTAAAAGCTTGACTCAAAAGAGCTTCCCAGTTAAACGCCTGAGTTGGAGCCGAGGGCTTTTTCCTTAATCACGACCAGACAAATGAAAATGAACACAGAAGACTGAATTTACACAACAAGTTATTCATTAAAGGAAAGGACAGAAGGGGGTAGGGAAGAGAAAGAAAGACCACGTGAAAGCGAGAGAGAACCCACAAAGGAGCAGACAGACAAGTAAGACTGCGCTGGGAGACTACCAGGAAAGGTGGCAGTAACAACATGTAAGTGTTATAACAACAGTCGACATGATTTTCAGAAGTGACGAATCCTTTCACACTAATCTAAAAGAAACAGCAAATTCGTAGCCCCCCTGAAAAAAAAACAACAGACCTATTTATTCACTGCTGGAAAGGCTATCCGAAGGATCCGGTAAATGCATAACAGAGAGAATAAAAATAGTATCTCCTCTAATAGTACTCAAAAACAACTTAAAAAAGCTTAAAAAACTTAAAACAACTTTAAAAAGCTTAAAACCAACTTCAAGGGCAAGACAGAAGGGTCACTGGGACTGGGCGAGGAAGTAGCAGCCGTTAGTGCAAGTCTGGGTAATTCCAGAGCAGGATGGCACCGTCTGCGCTCACACTCACGATGTGCTTCTTCTCAGGGCATATCTTGAGACGGGTGATGGTGCCACTGTGGCCCACGCCAACATGAGTCACTGCACCCTCGTCATAGTTCCACACTTTCACCAGATGGTCTTCACCACCTGCATTGGGCACAAGGGAAGAACAAACCGTTACACAGAGTTCTGCTGCTGTGTGTTCCCAGATCACAGGCAGGGCAATACTGAGGCATTCATCTGATTTAGGAAGAGTGGGACACTTTGCCTTGGGCGTTATGGCAAAAAAGACTTCTTCTCAACTGAAGTAGAGAGTCAACATCCAGTAGAGCACTCAGCACCTGCACCAGCAGACCACAGTGAGCTGTGGCCAGCAATCGGTACCAGTAATATGGATGGCCTTCAAAAGGCTCTCGACCAACATTTGTTTAAGAGGTTAATCTAAAAGAGCTGGTGGACGGTGACCACCACCAAACTACATGAGGAGCAGGGCAAGGTGAAATCCTGCATTCTTCCCTTGCAGACTTTTAAACCTTGTCGTCATCTTTATGTTACATCTTGCAAGACTGAACCATCGTATCTTCCAAGTCTGAACCACAGCCTTTTTCTAAATATTTTTCTCCAGTGATTCATTTTATTTTCCCCTTTAGCTCACCCCTCCCTTTGTCCTATTTTTTTCTTTCTTTACTGAGATCCTTGGTTCATTGCCTTCTTTTTCCTGCTCTTAAAATGACCTCCTCTTTCTAGTTTCATCCACCCACTCACCCGTGACAAAGTACACCCCATCTGAAGTGATGTCCATCCCATTGATGGTACCCGATGCAGAGCCTTCCACTTCCCTGATTGCGGAGCCGTCAAACACTTCCCAGTAGGCAATCTAGAGAGCAGACCGGAGAGGAGAGCTCAGCTGTGCACCAACAGCACACAGATTTCAGCCCTGCCCTGTAACACCAACTTCTGCGCAGGTACAGGAGTTTCATCATGTAACAAGCCCCACACTTTGTGTTTTGGAATTACGGCAAACAGAATTCCTGCGGTTTTGCTTACCTTTCTGTCTGTTCCGCTGGTGATTACCTGGTACCCTTCAGGATGGTAACACGCACACTTGAACAATGTGTTGGCTAGAAACATTTGTTTTCTTACGAAACGCCTGCAAAACACCCACAAAACAGGACAGAGCAATAGGGTCAAAAAATGAACTTTGACTGCCTGAACTCTCTCTGCCTCTGCTGTACATCAGATCTCTCGTTCTACTTGGGTATCTTCAGGTATTGGTCTGAGTTCAGGGTTTCAGAAAGCCTCCTGAGGTCATCACTTCTGTTCCCCATCACAGCTGCCTCATAAGACTTTTGATCTGCTGTCATAGGAAATGAATTTTTTTAATCCAGAATGTTTTCTAGGTGTTATTCACTATGCAAACATCTCCTTTTCCTTACCACAGTGCAGAAAGTCTGCAGATCTGCAATAGCTCGACAAGAGTCATACAGCGCTGCAAAAATGAGCTAGGTGGAAACATAGGAAATCACCCACTTCACTCCCTTGGCCAAGCAGGATCCAATACAAGAAAAGAACTTGAGACAAATGTTTGTCAAATTTTTTCTGAAAAGTTTCTAGCAATGGAGGTTCTTCATTCCCTGACTTGATTGTTCTTTCTAGTAATTTTTATTTCCTACTGCTCTTTTTCCCCTCCTCCTCGCTATGTGGTGTCCCAAAGAGGGCACGGTGACCCAACAGAGACATTAGCAGCACTTGCAATACTTATCTGTCTCCTTACACAATATCCCAGATGATGCACGTTCTGTCGAGACTGGTTGTGACACACTCTTCATCGTTATTCTTAACCTTAATGCAGGACACAGCACATACGTGCTCCTTCAGAACCTCCACCAGTTTTTGAGTCTTCTCACCAATCTCCCAGATCCTCACCTGCAAACCAGAAACAAACATCCACTTTTGTACCACCTGGTCCACATTGAGCTCAGGAGGACACCTACGGCTTTGATGTGAAACATGTGCCTGAAAGCACCTCTTTTCCCAGTGGTGGCAACAGCAAAAGTCTTTCTGCTTTGAGGACTCGATCCTTCACACCTTACATTTACTGTCCCACTAGTGCCAAACTTCATCATATCTTTTTGCTCTTACATTCCACTCAGGTCAAATGCTAGTGAAAATTTAGAAATTTAGACGCTGACATCAAAAGCAGAGAGAGCTGACCGCCTTCCACCTTTTCAAGCCTCATGTCGAGTTACCTGTGGGATCTCCATGTCCAGTTCCCTCTTGCTGAATGATCAGAGCATCCAGATCCCTGAAGCAGCCCTGAAAGTCACAGCTTTCAGATGACTGGTTTTGACGGAACCGTTAGCATTTCAGAACACCTTTGTTGTGTTCCGAATGAATACTGCCAGCGCTCCCCTGCAGTTCGCATTCCTACTTACCCAACCTTTACCTTTAATTCTGTCTCAGCTGTCTGTTTCGATTCAGAGACCAACTAACCAGAGCCTGTGCCATTCTGCGTGTGCTTATACAGAATCTATGTCCTCTGCCTTCTGCATCCTCTAGCGCTAATCATGCAAGGCACTTAACTGTTCTCTTATTAGTGAAGGGTTGAAGTGGCTTATTGTCTCGGATGTCTCTACGCAGCGAGACAAGGCAGTGCTGCCGTTACTGCTCTACAGGAGAGCTGCGGTGCAGAATGATTCAGAAAGATGGTTCAACCATTAGGGCATTAGCCTCAGATTTGGAAAACCCAAGTTCAATTCCTCACTCTTCAAGACTTCCTGTGCACTCTGCAGCACGGCACACTGAATACATGAGATCAGGGTACACAAACAAAGTGCAGAGCGGTTAAGTCACAGCCAGGAATCCACGCACAATTAAATGTCTGGTTCTGAGTGCTTGCCAGGCTGCAGAGAGGAAGGCCGAAGCAAGGCAAGAAACTGAACATGAGCCTTCCAAGTCTCATTATTTCTTTTTAACATAGATAACCCCCTGTGTTTAAATTATTCAAACATCAGGAGGGTCACTTTTACAGATTGAAAAGGGCCACAACTATACGAAGTGCGTAGAGTAACCAAAGTACACTGTGCTTGTTTGGTATTGCCAGAAAAAAACACTGTTGAACTGCACAGGTATAATGCCTACAACTTATTTTCTGATTTTTATTGTTATTTGTATTGGAATGTTTCCGTAATTGTATTAGAAACGGAGTGGTTATTAGAGTCTTTTATTGACGTCATCACCTAAACCAGATAATACCATCCCAGAAAATTAGGAAGTTACCCCATAGACACTATAGCGATATCAGGTGAACTGCATGCTATTAAATGAATTGATACAGGCCAATTTGGACTGGACTAGGACTTCCAAAGTAACAACAGAAAGAAAATCTGTGCTAGAGCACAGTTAGATGGAGGCCTGCAAACAACAACTGACGCAGATAGGCCAAATATAGGGGAGAGACTAATGAACAAAAAGGATTAAGAGCGTATTCTGCATCAGAAGGATTTCCAAGGCTGCCCCGCCAGAAGAAATCGGGGCATTGTTTTTCATTATGCTCTCTGAGAGCAAGAGATTTGCATCTATCAAAAGCTAATTTTTTTGAACTCCGTCCTTTGCTCCAGTGAAAGCTAAGAATAGCTCACTTTCTGACTAAGCACTTACAGACAATTCGCAGGCCCTGTCATGAGACCACAGAGCTGCTCCAGGTTTTTAAGCAAAAATTACCTGCCCTTCACCTCCCCCGCTAACAATCCGTTTAGAGTCACTTGTAGCAGCAATTGCCGTCACTCCCATGCTATGGGCATGGTTAATCACGTACATCAGCCGGCCAGTCTCTGGTGTGAAGGCGCGGATCTTCCCGTCGTTCCAAGCTGATGAATAAAAAGAAACAGATTACCCAGGTGAACAGACTCTCCTCATAGTCTTCTCTCTCTCTCCTTTCCAAATGAACCCCTTTTTTTATTAAGTTCCTTTGTAAGACCCACCCTGTCAGATCACCAGTATACATGTCAAAACCACTGTACTGTAGATGTAGAACTACAGCCCCCAAAAAAATATTGAAATTTAATTCCTACTTTTTGGTTCTGGCTATGGGCAAATTGGTTTGGTAACAACGGGGGGACTGCACTGCTGCTCGAGGACTGCAGCAGTTCCTGTGTAAGCAATGTGCACACGGCGATGGGTAGCAGGGTTTACGCAAAAGGTGGTCTACATACATCACAGGATAATCTGTTGCATACAACAAGGTTAATAGTTTAGAATTTGGTCTTTTGAAGAAGACTGAACTGAGTTCTGGACTTCATAGCCCAGGCGAGGTCTTTGGTGCCTTCCATAGGCACTGCCACTACAGCACCAGGACACTGGGGGCTGTGAGCAAAGTTCATCAGACCAGCTGCAAGAACAGAGGCTTTTGGGTTAAGCAATGAACTGAATTTAAACCCATTCCCAATTCAAACCTCTCTTCCTTCTAACATACTGATGTTTATTCAATTTGGCAACACGTAAAGACTGCACTCAACGGTAGCTCTAGACTGATCCTTACCTGAAATGATGCTCCCGCCATCCCTCATAATCTCTATGGCATAGCAGGTCATGTTCGGGACTGGGATGCGCAGCAGCTCCCTGTTTGCTGGGGTGTGCCACACTCGAATATCATTTTTGGAGCAGGTAGCGAACACTTTGGAAGAGCCACTGGAGAATTCAGAGAGGAGAGAGCATGAGGAGGGGTACACAGAAAACGCTTCTTTCTTTCTCAGATCTTAAATTGTCCTTCAAAGCTCAACTGTTCCTAACGCGCAACTGTCATCTTCCCAACAGGGATCACCACGGTTAAGAGAAAGGCCTTTTTTTGTAGGATCACCTTTCTCACATAGAATTCCCCTAGTTTGCTTTCTAGTCAAAGATTCATTTTAAGAAACAGTTAAATTACAGTGAAACGGAAAGAATTCTTTCTACTTCAGGTGAAGCTGTGACATTTATTTCCCATATGCCATCTCTAAACAACTTCACGTGTTGTATATAGTAGACACAAAAGTGGGTGTAGAGGTGCTGACTGCCCAGATTTCACATCAGGGACTAACAACAGCCTCATATTGTAAAGATGTCATTTTTTATCTTGCTTACTGGATGATTCCTATTCAACATCGCTGAAGGCAATAGAAACGATGGAAAAAGCCTGTTCATAATATACTTGTTAGACATGTTTGAATAAAAAAAGACTCGCAGCATTTCAAAAGCTATGGGACTGAATGCTTTGAAATAAGCTCTAAACCATACATCCTAGGGATATGACAGAAAGTGAAATCTAGAAAGGTACCATGAGCTTTTGTTCAACATCACCATCAACGCCTGGAAAGACGAACCAGGACAGAGAAAACTGGTGCAACAAAAGTGTGGCCCCTTTCAAGCCCAGCTTGCGCGGGTGCTTTATAAAGCAGGATAACATCAGCAATCAAAGTATTCTGAAATAAGCCAGAACACGGAAATTAAGCCTGTGCTTCCCAATTAGTGATACGCTCTGTTCAAAAGCAGTTAACAGAGAAAAAGTTTAAACATATACGTAAGGATGTAGTCATGTAGTCCTTACGATCAAACCTAAATGGAGCTCATCCAAATACCTCTGTGACGCAGATGTGTCACACAGGTATATTAGCATCAGATTACCCTAAAGTGCTAAATGATTTTCTCCTTAAACTAGAATGATGTGGACTTTTCAGGCTGGTGACAAGCAAGGAGGAGGTCTTCTTGCACTGGGCACTTTGCTGCACCTCAGTAAGATCTGATCCATTGTGCCGTGTCAAGAAGCGATGTAATAACCACGTCAAAAATAAAATCTTTCATTGGGATCAAACTCCCATTCTCTATTTGGAGAGGAAACAACCGATCCATTGTGTGTTTATTTTTTTTTTTAAATAAAGTGTCACAATCTTAATATACAGGAAAAGGGAACGTTTGCTGTCTGTACCCAACATCTCTCAACACAAGCCTAGAATTTAATCTAACATCCTATACTGTCAAACATGAAATCCTACGTGAGGCTGAGAGACCCAAAAAGTCCCTTTGAACAGTCAGTTTTCAGTGGTTGTTACAGGTGGGTAGAAAAGCAGACACCTCTACAAGCTGTAGCTGCAAGAGGGTACCCAAAAGCAGCCTTCCAGGAGTCACGCTGCTGGCAGACTAAGAGCTCCGAGTCTCCTAGCACCAACCTGAGGAGAAAAGGGGCAGGTTGCCATCGCTGCCATTACCCAAACATAAATAATTCTAGTCTTTTTAATGACAATTCTCTCTGCAGAGTGTCGATTTTTCCAATTCTCAAACTGAACTGCTGCCTTCTGCTTTCAAGCAGCTGCTCACCATCACCCTTGCCTTTCACTGCTAGGTCAGGGTATAAATCAGGCTGCAAGGATGTTAGAGGCTTTGGTTAAAAGGTGTTTAAAAGGTATCCTGACCTTACTTGCAGCTTACTTGCACTTCTTTGCCAGCCAAAAGCAGCCCAGTCAGTTATACTCACAAAGGAAAAACGATGTCGTGGATGGCTTCGGTATGACAGGCAGCGATCAGCTCCTCTTCAAACGCCGTGTAGTTGATTCGATAAATCTGGCACTTATTTGTCCCTACAAAGAACTGGTGACCCTGACCTCTGCACGTCAGGGAAGTGACACCACCTTGAACCTGAATTTGCCTGGTAAGAGAAAGCAGACTTTTGGCCTGACGTTGACCTCCAGGTACTCATTTTCCAGCTTCCCTTTTCCCCTGACTTTAGAGAGTCTTGACTTTCCCCGCTTCCCCAAAAAGCTCCAGACGAGGCTGTGATATCAATATGCAAGAACGTGGTCAGGACCAACGTTTCATTCCCAGCCACACGTTAATACTTCAAATGATCCTGCCTGGCCCACCTGCTACTCTGCCAGGGCTTGCAGAGGCAGTGCTTTGCAGACTTTGTTTTCTGGGCCAGGGCCTGAGGTAACAGCATCTTTGTTGATATTCTTGCTCAAGTGCCCTTAAATATCCATACTCAAGAATATTTCCCGACGGTTTAGATCTTCTGGGAATAGTTTCAATTGTACAAAGGTAAGCTTGCAGAACGGCACGCTCACGTTGGCTACTCCAACAAGGCCAAATGAATAGCTACGAGCCCGATTTTCAAATCGCATACGGGGAAACGACACCTGCAGCTTTCTGGTTTGTATGCAGAAAAAAGCCTTGCCCGTACTCCAGCGCTTCCAGACATGTACCTATAAAATTAGTGGAGCCCTCCTTTGCAATCCACTGTCCTCCAACAAACCCTTTTAGAGATGGCCAGTACTACTCGTTCTCAGCTGGCGTAAATAAGCATAATTTTTCTGACTTCCCCAGACCTGTCTCACTTTGCGTCAATTTAGGATGTGACTTCTAATGCCTAAAAGGAAACAACGGTCATTTAAAATGAACGATGCATAGGGCAGTTCACTTCTGTGCAAACGCACGCAGTAATTTTCAGTCTGCCTCAGCTTCATTACGCTGGAACCATGCTGTCTATTTTGTCAGCAGGACTGAAAAACTGAGATTTATTTGGATTAGGCCTTTAGGTAGAAATGATTGGTTCTTATACTGGGACCCTTCAGGGGAAATGTCACCCCTACCCTCCTGATTCTCCCATCTACAAACTCACTTCATTACTCGGTAGCTTGAGCCTTTACAGAGAGCTACAACCCCTCCTCCGGTGCCGACTATTAAATCTCCTGTCTTCAGCAAAAGCAAAGCTGTGACTCCCTAGGAGAAAACAGGATTAAAACACAATTGAATGGAAGCAGAGTCTCTCTATTGCTGCAGTCGTGCTGAACAGCACCGAGGAGTCTCTACCATGCTCCTGATGGCGGTGCTTATGTCACTCAAATACGGCTTTATCAGTACTCTTTGACTAACCTAAGCTAAAGAGTGGCACTCTAGAGGGAGAAGGGAGAAAAGAGTTATTAATTACAGGTATATATGAACTACTACGGTAGGAGTCTTGAAGGAGCAAGCAAACAGCATCATCAGGGATCCTTCAGAGCAGCAGGGATCACGTAGGAGCCTACATAGCCTTCCCTCATGCCAGCAAGCAATGCACACACTCTGCTTTTCCTTCCACTGATCCTTCATCTATCAAACATGGAAACAACGGAGGATAGAACTCAGCCTAAGCGGCCTTTCCTATAGCTTCTGCCAGGACAGATCCTCTGTGTCCCAGGCCTCTCTCCCTGTCTGGAAGATGCAATCCCATCTCCCACCTATTAGTGACGAAACACATCTGTCACACAAAAGCTTTGGAAACTACTCAGCCCATCATCAACATGGGTTCTCGCTATTTACTAAGAGGAGTAGATCATCAAGAGGTCAGCCATTAGAAAAAGAAGTCATGTTTTTCGGTGGATGAATCAGACTACAGTAAAAAAAAAAAACCAAACAAAACCAGCCCTTCGCCTTGCCACAAAATTTCAAGTATAGAAAAGTCAGTCTCTGCTTCACTTTTGCTACCTGGGGAGTAATAGTACCATCCTGCCTAAGAGACAACAGATTAATTCTTGAAAATCTGAGAGACCCCAAAATAGGCTGCAAGAGGGATGGAACTACTACTGTAGGGTTAAATCTTCATATTTTTACTCAGAAAAATATCCCTACTAGTTTGGGGGAACACACGCATGAGTGAAATGGAAAGAAAAAAAAAAAAGAGGGAATAAAGGAGGCTTTATGCCATCAAACCTTGGACTGAAAGCTAAGGTCTGCCATGAAGGAAGCAGGGACAAGAGGCACTTCCACTCTCACCACAAGGGCAGAAACTCATGGCCATCCGTTGTCCCAAATCCGATGGGCCAGCTGGGAGCAGCTCCAGGCTCCCTGTGACCTGTAAGGAGTCTGCTGAGCTTGAGAGCTCCTACATAGACTCCAGCAACGTTTGCCACGACCGAGGTTTACAAGCGGTTTTGCCAACTGTTGTCATAGTACTGGCAGTTTCACAACAGGAAAATTTCTTCTTCTTTAAGCCTGAGCTCATAGAGTCACTATGTGACAACAACAATTGCTGTTTGGTGGAGTTTTTTCTGGAAAAAAAAAGGCTCACATCTAGCATTTAGTGCTGTGAAAGCATGAAGAAGGGAATTCTCAAATAAGCAAAAGGCAAATCAGAATTCTGCATTTATTCTTTAGGAAGAAATCACTGTTATGTGCTTGCCTTGTGGTTTTTGAACAAATACAGGCGTCAGCACCTTAAGATAACGTTTGACATCTAAGCAACACCACCCAGCGTTCCTCTTCTTTTCAAGCATTAACCTGGCCTACCCCCAGTAAATTTTCAGGAGTATTAAACACTTTCAGAGTGTTTCAAAGAATGAAAGCCAGAATGCCTTGATTTTCTGCATGGAAAAGATTGAAGCTCTAAGCAAGGAAAGAGAAGAAGTGAAGAAAAAGGAGAAAACAAAATGGACTTTTGAGCTACTTCAAGCTGAAAAGGATGTTGCCAAAGCCACAGACAAGGTCTGATGAATTCGGAAAAATTACTTCGGTTCAATTATCCGACCATATAGAAACAACTGGTTGTTTTTAAAGTCTTGCTTATACTTTTTGAAGAAAAAAATAACAATCACCGTATACATAAGCGCACATTCCTGTGGTGGCATCCCAGACAGCCTTGCACCTACCTACGCACCAGCTAATGACTATTTGACTTCAGGAGCAAATAAATACAGATTGCAGAAAAAAGTATATAAAAAAATAATTTTCCTGATTTGGAATGTATTCGCACTGGATTTCTGCATGAGTCTGTCTCCACCAGCAGCACATCCACAGCCTCTTGTAATATCAGGACTGATCACGGGGAAAAACACAACCTCCAGAGAGGATTTTACGCCACACTATCACAACACTACCAGGCAGGAAGCCAGCGTTCATGCAAATATTCTTTGCAAAAGCACGAGAACAAAGGCATTCTTTTTAATTAGAAATATGATCCATAAGCAGAACTCTTTCTGAACAATGTTTTTAAAAATTTCCTATGAGGTGTTGACAGCATTTTGCGAGTCCCCTGTTATCACAAGGCCATCAACCGTCTTTTGATCTGCTATTTTGCGGTTTTTCCTGTAAAAGACTTCCACCTCCGAAGCCCTTTGGGGTCAGCATTATGGCAGGTGGCGGCAGTAGAAATCAAACCTACGACTACGTAGTTTATCTGAATACAGCTCCCTGCTACTTGCTAATAAATTCAAGCTTTTGCAGCACTGCCGAGACTGCTTTGATTTTTTCTGAGGTCTTCTCTTTGGTTCTTCAATTTGAGAGTGAAGCAGGTATTATTAAGACAGAAAAACCCAAACCCTTAAAGTGGCCAGGACTCATTTCCAGGCTCTCCAAATCATCAGAGTTTGATTACAACCTTAACCTGGCAATTGTGCTTCTTTTTCTTGTCCAGCCTGTTCTTTGAATCACCAGGAGTAAGCAGATAGCTTTAGAAGCTGCAGTTGTTATTCATGGAGTCAAGCAGTTCATGTTAACGATGCGATGAATACTCTATTTTATATACTGCCAGCTGTCTTGTAGATGAAATGCAGAGACTAATGTAGGAGGTTAAAAATAGCACCATTCATTATTTACTTCTTACAAAAAAGAAACCACGGCTTTGAAGTATGATTATAAATGAAAATACCAGTAAAAATCCAGCCTGCCCATTCCCTTCCCTGCAGGTATACTTGCTCTTTGTCCTATTCTGATCTCTTGCAAAGCTCTTGAGCGCTCTATGAACTCTTTCAGTGCACCTCCTTTAAATATTTTTTTTTCAATGCAAATCACTCCAACTATTTCTGAAAATGCATTTGCAATCGTGCACCTGAACGGGTGCCTTATAGCTCCTCGAGCCTGCAATGGGGATAAAAATTAATTTTGCTCTTTATTCCAGAATTTATAGATGTTATAAAAATGCACTTCAACTTAATTCCATGCATATGGAAAACAAGTTGCTTCATCATACCAGTGAGCTATTTTGCCACTCCTCTTCAAAACAGAAACAAAGAAATCTTCAGATCGTGTCTATATAATAAACACATTCTTATATATCTCAAGGCAAAGTTCAGTTAAGGTTGACCAAAGTTTTTTTCAACAAACATCTTCTCCTCACCCAGGCAGTATCTATAAACTCCTTCTTTAAAGATATGCTCGTCGTGGGGTTTCCAAGTTTTTGTCGTGGATTCCAAGTTTAGAGTTCCACGGTATGCCACTGGCTCATAATTCCCCAGTGTGACTGGTGAACATGGGTTTCAGAGACACAGGACAACATTCACTCACGAATCTGCATCTTTTCAGAGAGAATTGCAACGAAGTGATGAAAAGGGTTCCACGGAGAGGGAGGCCGGGACAGTTCCATCGCTGGAGGCTCTATGGCCAACCTCCCTGCCCAGGAGCGGGGGAAATGCCTGGTGAGGAAAGGCAGTGCATGTCCCAAAAGCCATGCTTCGGAGCAGTCCTGCCTACCTGGAGCCAGCATGGCTCGCTTCTGACACAAAAAAACATGGCAGCTTTGCTTTGCAGGGCTAGAGAGGGGAGAGTTTTTATTACAAGTACTAATACAGGGTACATTTTCAAGAAAGACAAAAATTACACAGAGCGCTGCACGGGGAGGGAAGAAAACAAATCAACACTTCTCCTTGGGTTAGCAATATGATGTACTAAATTGTGTAGAAACAAGGATGCAAATACTTCTGTTTTGATAAATGCTGTGGTTTTGACTTGAAAAAAAAATCTGCAAAATACCTGTTTTGGCATTGAAGCCTATGCTACAATTGGAAATTTCTGCCATAAAACATTAGATCCTATGTGTGCTCAGCGAGGGCTTGTTGACAGTCTAGTGACGAGGTGTTATTTGTACGCAGAGATGTGCAATGGGTGGGCGGAAAGGGAATCACAGCACGGAGCTAGGAAGGGAGAACTGGAAAGCATGAAAGTGGATCTGATAGCAGCTGGAGATAAAATGTACCAGCACCTTCTCACGGACTGCCGCAATACAGGTTTGCCCTGATGGATTTCCCATTTCGGGCATATGGAAACTGCACTGGTGAGGGAAGGGAGCAGAGGAAGAAAGCAAGAGGAGAAGAGCTGATAGGGTTGTGCACGCGTGTGTCACAAACTGCGGTTCCTGTGGATTTGCCTTATGCTAAAACCCCTCACAGTGCAGACGGGACTGGGGGCTGGCTTTGAGCTGCTGCTCTAGGCTCTCTTCCGACCCCCAAATTGCACGGCATTCTGCTAATGACCCTATTCGAACGCTTCTTTCGCAATGGCCTCAGAAGTATATTTTGTGTGAGGTTTTGTTTAATGTGCATTTGGCACCTTTCCCTCACCCCTGAAGGCAAAGGAGTACAGGACCTTGGGTGGCTTCAACCAGGTACTCCAGACAAGGCACATGGACTGCTGGGTGTAGGAGGACTCAAAGCATGCAAGCGTTTAAAAGGGAGGTGACATTCAATCATCAAGACCTTGGCATAAGAAACAGCAGAGATCAGCTGGGACATGGGTCCTGTGGGGATGCAAAACCCTGTAGGATGACTGCTGGAAGCGCAGCTGAATAGCGTGCAATACAGCTATACCCACAAGAGATCTAACGCACCTTCAGCAAACTTACTGTTTCCATCAGGAAAACAAAATACATACCTTCTTGTCACTTAATACACACACAGAATTAAATTACTTACATTCCTACAACGCAAGGGGGAAAACAAGCAATAACTTCTCCAACCTTCTAGAATAGATAAACATTGAAATAGACTTCAAAGAATTCAGTGGCTCCAAGTTACCCCAGAGATATGGGCTTGCATCTGCCACACAAGAACCACTACATTTTAAATGGGCACACATGTGGTTTGCACGTGTTGGTACAAGCAAAGTTCAGGAAGTTCAGAGAAATAAATCCGCAGTAGCTTTTTCTTTGGGGCTGACTGCTGAATTTTTCTTACAGTTCTTGTTAGTCAGGTGTTTGCTCTCAAACCAGATCTGCTTCTTGGTGGGACAGGTTCCCCATGGCATCCCTAACAGTATATTCCCTCCTTCCATCTGCAGTGCTTCCCCTGCTGCTTGCTGATTTTCATGGTTGCTAACTGAATCGCAAAATACATTCACCTCATGCCGGGAAGTTTTTCTGGGAAGTGTTTCAATTCCTTAGGTATCACTCCCTCCACTGGCTATAAACCGAGAAGCTACACAAAGTCTTTTATAGCAACAAATAAAGAGAAATCAAGAACAAGTGTACTAGTGGGTGCTGATCCTTCATCATTACAGCTCCCTGCATGCACAATTCATGTACAATGAAAGGCCAAAAGCTCCTTATTCAGAAGACACTCAACCAAGACCCGTCACTCCCAATTATAGACAAAAAAAGCTAAGTGAAAAGAACTCTGGGGTTATGAAGTCAAGCACTCAGAAGTTAAAAAGCAATAGAATCAACGTACCCTCTGCAACCTTGTTTTGTCCCAATTATGCATATGCATTATAAGAAACTCTTAAATTCTATTATCTAGACCAGCTTTTGTCAGTAAGACCGCTGCCTCATCAGTGGCAGAAGCAGACCTTCAAAAAGACAACCTCCTGAAGGGAAGGGGAAGGAATGGTACGGGGAACAAACACAAAAGCCTAGGGGGTTGGGGTTAAGAATAGCTGTAGTGTTTTGAAGTTTTTTCAAAGTAGTCTTCCTGTGGCAAAGAGCTGTCTTGGAAAATTTCAGCCCGGGTAATTTAACAATTCTGTCCAATCGGAATATAGGACCTTATAGCAGGAAGTGTGGGGAAGCCTCGCAAAAAAGCACTTCCACCAGTCTTCCCAGCAATGGCCTCTGTCTCACTCCAGCTAGTATCTCCCTAAAAAAAACCAACTCAGGAACTACTCCATTTTTACCATTGTTTTTCACTTCTTATGACTTTTCCCAGATTTACTATAAAACAGAGTTTGTGAGACGATACATGATATTCGAGTAAACCCCAAATTATGAGCCAAATGAAACTGGGCTAATGGTCTCAGACTTCGGCATCAAGACCAAGACACAAAGAACTAAGAGCACAGAAAAAGGGTTACTCTGCGAATCAACTTCGTAACGATTCTCCTGGAGGTTGCCCTACTTTCAGTTACTAACAAAGCGAAGGATAAGGAAAAAAATCATGTCCCAGAGCTGCTACTCACCAAGCTAAACTTCTTCTTCTGGGGCCCGTATTTAGTCATCACCTTGTTGTTTGTATCCACTTGCAGGATATCACCACTTGATGTGCCAACGTAAAAATCACTATCATCATCTGCCATCTAGAGCAAAGCATAAAAAAAAAAAAAAAGAGTTCATGGTCCAGAGAGCAAGACATTTGTCCCAAGCCTCGCACTGGGTTGCACAAATAGCTTCATTTCAGTGGATTGCCAAGATTTCATCTGAGAGGGTACAGCCAACGCTTTCATCCTCTCACACTCAAAGACCTTTATTTGAGTGCAACGCAAGACAACTTCTAACCAAAGCTAGATAAAATTTGGAAGCAAAAGCGGGATCTTCTGGGTGCTAGAGCCTGTGACTAAAATACATGCTGCTGCTCTTCAGGAGCATTCAAAACACTCTTT